GGGCCTGGGGAAAACAGGGTTTGGGAAAGGACAACAAGCATCAAGAAGAAAGGGGAGAGGGATCCGACACCCACTTCTCCCTTCTCTGAGTACCCCCTCCCACTCCACCCCCAGATCTCCATCCATAACTCTTTCCTCTCTCCCCCCCCAAAATAAAACACCCCTCTCTGGCTCTTACGCAGTGAAGCCGAGGATGAGACTGTTTTTCCACACCACGCGGGTACCAAGGAGGTGGCAGAGGCTGTGGTAGTGGGGCTGGGGAGCCCCTCCCGACGAGGCATCCTGTTCTGGAGGGAGGAAACTGGGGGTTGTTACCACACCCACACCAAGGCCGCGCAGCTGCAACCTCAGGAGGGCTCAAGGCGGAGGGAGGAGGTGGCTGTCGGTTGCAGGACCAATGTCCCACCACCACCACCACCATGAGCTTCAGCTCCTCCATGGGGGAGAGGAGGCAGCGTGGCTGAGCGTGCCACCTGCCATTCCTGCCCCTGCCGAGGCCTCACCTGCAAGGTCCTGCTCCCCTACGTAGGAGTCCTCCTCCAAACAGGCGCCGCTGCCCTCAGCTAAGCTGCGCAGGACTCTCTGGCCTTCCTTAAGCTGGCCAGTGGCCAGGAGCCAGCGGGCCGACTCCGGGAAGAGGGAGGGGCACCTGCGCCAAAAGGAGAGATGCAGCCTGAGAGGGGAAGCTGAGCACCCGTGCCCTTGTTCCGGGTGGCTGCAACCCAAGGGAAGGCGGCTGGCTGACCGTGCCGTGAAGGGCACCAGCATGGCTTGGCACGTTCCTCTTTCCAGCCTCGGCCAATCCTGCCTTCTCTAACCCCGCCGTCTGCACCAGCAGCAGGGTGTAGAAACAGCCCAGGCGAGACTTCTGGGGTGGCGCCCGGCGTTGGACCCCCATGGCCCAGAATTCACTCCCCACAGAAAGTGAGTACATGGAGATAGGAGCAAAAGAAGTGTTTTTGCTTTGCTGGTCTTTGTTCCCAACGATATTACGACTGCAACCAAAAATTGTCCTTAAAACTTATGGTAAATGATAAATAACATAATGGGTGTAAACGTATAACTTTCTCAGAAAGAGAGTTGTGTTTTTTTTTAAAAAAAAAAAATCAGTCCCAGTGAGACCTGGGTTCTTTCACAGAATTAATTAGGGACCTGGCAACAAAAGATAGCTTCTGGACTAATTTATTATGCAAGCCTGTTCGTGAGAGAAGGAGCTTCCACAGTCCCTGTTGCCCCGTGAAAGCCACCCACAAGGCCACGCTTGCCGTGGCAGAAAACGAGAAGCTGGCCTCCGTGCTGTTTACCTTGCCAGGCAGATAAGCCCTACCCTGACCTGGAGCTGCAGGCACAGCCCCTAGCCGAGTCGCACCCTTGACGCCTCGGCCTCATGACTCTGCACAGGTGTGCCCGGCCGGGACCCTAAAGAACAGCCTCTGCAAGGAGGCAAAACGGAGCGCCCCCCCCCCAGCATATCGTCCAGAGAAAGGAGACCGGCAACGGAGGAGCCCGGCAGTGCCTGCAGCTTGTTTCCCACTGGTTTGCCTGAGGTGCCTCTCCTTGGCGGGGGTGTCTGGCTAGGCTAGAGGGGGGGGGCACCCCCACTTGGCCAATACTGCTGGGGCCGATCCCACAGCAAACCGCTTGGCACCTCCTCAACCCTGCCAAGGCCACCTGGCCTGAGGGTGCTTGACCGGGACTGAGAGAACCCTCGTCTCTGAAGCACCATCTTGATGGCGCTCTTAAGCTCAAGGGTGGCGGGAAGGTGCTCAGCCCTGCCGCCTCCACCCCCACCGCCCTGCAATTGCTTCTAACGGCTTCCTGGGATTTACGCAACGCTGGGTGTGGAGAGGAAGGTGTGGGTGTTCAAACAATGGCTGGGACACAGAGACCCACTAGGAAAGGGAACTCATGGTGTGGCAGAGTTGGTCAGTAGGAAATGCAGATGTTCTCCCCGCACGCCCTGGACGGCTCGCATCCCTCTAGACCCCCATCCCTTTTAGGAATGTGTCTCTCCCCCCCACCCGGGAAGAGCTATACTTACCACCAGCAAGCAGCCAGCAGTGCAAACCCCAGCGTGACTGCTCCCTGGAGGAGACGCCACTCTCGGCACGCCACAGCCAGCCCGGGTAACAACAGCTCCCCCGCCACCCAGAAGAACCCGGCCGTCATGGTGACCCCCAGGCGGTGGGGAGGGTCACACAATTCCAGTCCTGGGGAAGGAGAGGGGAGGGAGGGTCGTGAGCCGCAGGGCCAGTGGCGACGGGGGGAGGGGGAAGAGAGAGCAGGGAGGGATGGAACCAGGTGTGCAAGGCCACCATGGAAGGGCACACTCCTCTGGGGCCCACCCCACAGCTGAATGGGTGACAAGAGGTCACTCACGTGCAATGTAGAGGGAGACGAAGGTGCCTGCTAGCATCGCCCCGAAGGCCAGGTGTGTGATGACAAACATAACGTAGCTGACAGCCAAGGCCACGGCAAGACCAAATGGGATGGACAACATCAAGGCCAAAACAAAAGTGGCCCTCCGACCAAACCTAGGGAGATTCAACAGAGGACAGGGAGGGAGGCTGCAGGGTGGCCTGAAAATTCACCCTGGCTGCAACAGGGATGAAAGCACCATGGCCCACTACAGCAGGCAAGAGAAGAAGCTTTGCAATTAGAAGCAGAGCAGCTTTCAGCCATAAAGGACGTACGATTATCCTCCAAATGCTGCTTTGCGATTTCACATCTTTGAAATTGGAGTGTCATTTTAGGCTTGGCCATCAGGAGGACACAAGTGGCTCTGTCCCCACATTGACTGTGCAAACACTACGTTTCAACAACAATTAACACTTTTGGCAGAATATGATGCACCTTAACAGCCCACCCTATTACAATAAATAAAAATATTTGGTCCTCTAGTCTAGCCCAGTCGTCTACAACTCCAGATCTTAGGAAGCAAAGTGACTTTTCGACCCTCTCTGACTTGATCCTCCAAATGCTGGAACTGATCTTGGCCTCTTCTGGCTCAGTGCAGGAGATAAGGCATTCCTGCTGCTAGATCTCAATTAGGAAGACTAAAATAAGCATCTAGTCCTCACCAAGGAGTCACAAACATGCAAGCTGCACCTGCTAGAAGCTCAAGGGAAAGTGAAGCAAGGTGGCGAAGGTCCTGGTGGAGGGAGAAAAAGGAAATTGATGGTTTACCTGTCACAGGCGGCACCAAAGACCACGAAGCCAAACAACCATCCCAGGAGGTACGTGGTTTGCTCCAGGGGCACTTTCCAGTGGTTGGAGCACACCAGATCCCACTGCGAAGCCAGGGTAGGGGGAAGGGGGCACGAAATACAGGACAGAGATAAGGCAGCTGTGCCAGCCTGTTTCATCAAGGCCAATGCCAGCCCCCACGAAACTGCCCAGGCAGCTTTAAGGAAGGAGCCTTTCTTTCAGTGGGAGTTTCCCTGGACCCCTCTCCTCCACCTGGGGCTGAAGACAGGGTGTGCAGGAGTTAATGAATCCTCTTCATCTTTAAGGTGCCCCAAACTCTTTTGTTTTTAGGGTTTGGTTTTGCACCTGATGAAACAGGGGTCATCTCGGTGGAAACGGAAATGCAGGTGTTTAAAGGCACCTCTTACTTCTCTTGGTTTCTGTTTGCAGTTGCCTACAGAAACCAGACTTTCCTGGGGGGGGATCGGCGATCCCAACAAGCTTAACTTAGCGGGAGAGCGTCTGTGGGAAGGAGAAGAACCAGTGGGGGAGAGGGGGGACCCTCTTCTGGGGAGGAGGCGACCGACCCCCTGCCAACCCTCCGGCCATCTGCCAGGAGATCCTGGCTCAACGTCCTGCTCCCCGGCAGCCCCCCCTCCCCCCGGGCTCTAGAGAAGGTGAGCGAGAGGAGAGCTTCTGGCGAAGGGCAGGCTTTCCTACCAGGTGCGCAAATATTTCTCGCAGCGCTTGGCCCAGCATCAAGGGCCAAGGTTTCGCCTTTTTGCGCGCCGGCCCGCCCGCTCGCTCGCCCGCTGCTCCGGGAGAAATTGGGCCAACCGCTCTCCCCCCTCCCCCGTTGCATGGAGCCCCTTGGCCCCCGGAAAG